CGTCGTCGCAGTAGTAGTAGTAGTAGTAGTAGTAGTAGTAGCAGCAGTAGAAGTAGCAGTAGTGGTAGTGGTAGTGGTAGTAGTAGTAGTAGTAGTAGTAGTAGTAGTAGGAGTCGGAGGCTCCCCCTACCAACCACTTCTCCCAAACGCGGTTCTTGCTGGGTGGGCGGCTTGGGGGTGGGGTGTAGCTGCAACAAATACTCTAGTGCAGGCCTATAACAGGCTGCAGCTGCCTTAAGTGTGGGGCCTTCCTGAAGGGAAGCAAGGGCAGACAAGCGGAGACGAGCGTCGAAGGCCTGGAAAGGTCGCCATTCTCTTTCAAATCAACAAGAACCCATGTGGCAATCTGTTTGGCGAAAAATACGATGGTGCTCAGCATGTCTCTTCATTCATTAATTACTAATTATTGTTGAGGCAATGCAATTGGAGCCTATCGCGGCAAGAAGGCGCCAGATAAACTGTGACATGGCAAAACGAACCTGGGTTTCACGTGAGGATACACCGCAGCCTTGCCGTCGAGCCCATCGAGCTTGTGGCAGAACGGCAAGGTGTGGCAGTTCTTTGGGAAGCGAAAGTTGCGTGCTGAGAGAACGTGCTGCTCAGGAGACGCGCCTCGGGAAGAAGCGATCCGGTACGGAGAGGCAGCGTCGGCGCAGCATGTGCAGCAGTGCCGGTTGCTTGTTATAGTACCGGGCACCACGCCTGGCAGTGAGGGCTTCCGATTGCGAGCTGCTGGATGCGGAGCTTTGTACTTAGGCTCGGATGCAAGACCTTTGTTACTGCACGTCTGTGACGCAAGTGTTAGACTCCAGCTGTGATTGGAGCGATTTCGAGTGAGATCCAATCAGAAGGCTATCCGGGCGGCGACGGACTTTGCTGGAAGTCTGGGGAGGTCGGTCATGTCGTTCCAAGCAACTTGCTTTCGTCCCAGCTGCCTGCCAGGCAGAGTCTCCGAAGCCACCAGCCGGGACGCGGTTTTCAGCGCACGGTGGAGAGTTAGGTGTCACTGCCTCAATGTGCTTTCGAGATCTCTGACGGTTGAATTATGGGTAGTCTTTGGATGCGGACCTCCTAGCATCCGATGGGAGCCACTCTTCTTGGCCTCGGTGCTCCACCTGTCTCTTGCAGTTCTTTCCTCTTACGTTCTTGGGCTGGTTCCCCTACCCTGCCCGTGGTTTCTGCTTGCTTGGAAGTAGGGGCCAGCGCAAGCAGGTGGCTTTTGATATGCCAAAGTGCGTTGCTTCTGTGATTGCGCCGTTCTGTGAAGCACCTCTATTCTGTGAAGAGGCTAAGATTTTGCGCGGTTGAGGCATCCTTATGCTTCGGTCGACCAGTGTCGCTGCGATGGGTGCTACAATCTCAGATATGGAGTCACGTAGATGAAGACTTGGATGTTGTAGCAAGTGTAGTTCCAGGCCAACTCCTCCAGCGTCTGACACGGAAAGTGATTCAGAAGACGACAGGTCGGCAACTCTTTTTTTTTGTGTTTCGGTGGCGTGGCGTGACGTGGCGTGCTCGGCAGCGTTTTGTCAGGCCTCCAGCCAAGGACTCTTTGCGACACGGTCATGTCCTGCCGGAGCGCTTCTAAGTGACGGATGTAGGAGGCAGCGGAGGCATCAGCAGCCGCACGGCCATGTCGAGGCCCAAATTTATTGGATGTAGCGTTACTTCGCTACTTGCACTGCCTCTCGGCGATTCGGAATGACAGCGCTTATGCAGGGTCAGCTCCAGCCGACGGCCTGCTGCCCGAGGCTGCTAGGTATGCTCAGGCGGCGGGTGTGTTTCAGATTCCTTAACCGGGCTTCCCTGAATCAGCGCAGGAGGGGCTCTACTCTCGCATGGCAGACAAGGCGAAAAGGGGCCCCAGTAGCTGTTGCGGCTTCAGATCACGAGATCGGCATGTCGGCGAGGCTGATTCGGCAGTGCCGGTGGCTTTTCTCCCGCTGTGCATGGATGCGCTGAAATGATGCAACTATCCTGCTGCCACGTCGGGTTCATGATGCTTTTCGCATTTGGATGGATGTATAGAGTGTTTCTGTATTAGCAAATACTTAAGCTTCTTCGACCGATGCTTCTCCTCCGCTTGCAGCACGCACCGAATGCGGTGGAACAACATGTTCCTGCCGATGATCGACACACTGTACATAGTCGTCAGATCTAGCATGCGAGATTGGCAAAAACGTTTAAGAGAGGTTGCAGTGAGCACTTACTGTAGGGTAGTAGCCTACGGAGGCATGCTTGCCAGGTATCCACAAGAGTCTCATTACGACTGGAGCCGCCCGAAGCTTTCCGGCCCACAGGCGCTGGGGCTCCGGCGCGTTGGGGCGTTGGGGGGTCGCTTGCAGTGCATAGAAGGCATAGAATGTTTGTCTGCAGGGAAGCCTGGTCATCGCAGCATCCAGCAAAGCTTTCAGGCCAGCCTCCCCCCAGGGTGCCCATGAAGATTCAGTTTCGTTTTTGGAGTCGAGGATAGCTAAGTATTCCAAGCCGGATCCGAAAGTGATGCCTTTCATGAACCGGTGAGATGCCTTCCCAGAGATTGGCATAGGAAGAGCACAAGAAAGCGGCTTCATCCGGCAAGTGATCCAACAGGACATTTTCGCGCCCTTCCTAAATGGCATATGCCGAATGTGGCACAATTTAGTAGAATCACGACATGCGCGAACAGGTTGCAGAAAAATGGACACTGATGCAAACAAAAGCCATTCAAAGACTTTCTTCCCGGGAAAGCGTCGCAATTTTTGGCGGTTGATCCGATCAAGTGCTTTCTGTCAGGGGTCATGGGTTTGGTGGTGTGTGTGTGTGTGTGTGTGTGTTTGTGCGTGTGTGTGGAGGGTCCTCGTTCATGGGCTTAGTGAGGTCACTCTCCAACTGATCTGCGAGTGTTTTCACTTTTGAAGCTAAGGATGTCACTGCTTCGAAACAATTTTGAAAGGGTCCGTGAAGCGAGTCAGGACGCTGACTCGTGTACTTGCAGAGCGTTTGTGACACAGTCGTACTACAAGCTGTATATGGTGACATCCTGCAATATACTCGCTGTGCAACTTTA